ACAAGCTGAAGCCAGAGGACAAGCGTGTGGAGCTTACCCTTCATAAGAACCTCAACGCTTCTGCCTGGGCCATTAAGGTCGCCGCGGCAGCATCCTATTTCAACCGCACAATGGTCATGTGGCTCCGGCAGCTACAAGATCCCGATCCAAGATGAGTGTCTTCACCAAGACCTCACTAAGATCATTTCAGCTACCCAGTTTTCGGCAGACGCCACCTTGGATTCCATTAAATTTGTGTCCAGAGCTCTATCTACCTCTAATTGGCAAATGGACAACAAGTCCAAATGGAACCTGGCAGCAGCCAGTTTCTCCAGCCCTACCCTTTTTGGAGCCTCCCTTGATCCCATCCTTGTGGAGAACAAGGATAAAAAGAAGGTCCTACCTTCAAATTCTAAGAAGCCAGACAATCATCCGTCTTCATACAATAGGCCTTCATCCTTCAGGCCTCCTGACCAGGACTACCGTCAGCAGCGGTATGCCCCCTACAGGTATGATAGACAGAGTCAGTGGCCGTTCTACCAGGATAGGAATAGGTTTCAAAGTCAATCCAAACGGCCCTTTTGCAGATGGGGCGGCCGTCCCTTCCGCAGGGGGAAATGACTCCAATCCGAATCTACCCATAGGCAGCCGCCTGGCATCCTTTGCGGACCAGTGGGATCAGATAACATCAGATGCCTGGGTCAGGTCGACGGTCAGGGAAGGTCTCCGTCTGGAGTTCCTCTTCCCTCCGAATGCTCTTCAGGACTTTCCCCCCCTCCAGGGACCCAGAAAGGCGCCGCCTAATGCTCCTGGCAATCCAGCATCTGCTGACATTCAGGTGGTCAAGCCGATCCCTCCGGAGGAGTCTGGGCAAGGCGTGTACTCAAACCTCTGTCGTTCCGAAGAGCTCCAGGGGATGGAGAGTGATCCTGGATTTGAAGCATCTAAATTCATTCCTGGTCTACCGGCGCTTCAAGATGTCTTCTCTCAAGTTCATATTACTGGGGATAAGACAGGGAGACTTCATGGCGTCAATAGACTTAACAGAGGCATACTTACACATTCCGATTCGGCCAACCCACCGCAAATTCCTCCGTTTTCCCACAGGGGTCGTCATTTTCAGTACAGGGCACTTCCATTTGGCCTGGCCTCTGCTCCCCGCATGTTCATGAAAGTCCTGGTGGCGATGGCAGCTCACTTGCGCTCCTGGCCGGTGAGACTCCATTGTTACCTCGACCACGTGCTCACCATCCGGATGCTACAGTCCCTGGGGTTTTCCATCAACTTCCCCAAGAGCTATCTCTCCCCATCAACAAAAATCCTACACTTAGGCACAGTGACAGACTCAAGAACAGGGCTAGTTCGTCTTTCACTAAAACGTCTGACAAGTCTCCAAACCTTGGCATGGCACGTCCGTGCAAGTCGGTCAACTTCCATCCTGACCTTGGCACGATTACTGGGCAAGATGGTGTTGTGCATAGGGATCGTCCCGTAGGCCCACCTACACTCCATAATACTTCAGTGGACACTCATTCCATTCCAGTAACAGCGGATGAGCAACTCCCCGCGTACCATTCATCTACCACAGGGCCTCCACTGGTCCCTGAGGTGGTGGTTGTCCCCGTCATTGAAGCACGGAATCGAATTCTGGGAACCGGATCACATCTCCATCACGATGGACGCCAGCCTCTTCGACTGGGGAGCAGTGATACAGACCAGCCTGGAGCAGGGGCGATGGTCAAAGTCTGACCTCAGTTGGCTGGAGCTGAAGGCAGCCTGCCTAGCTCTTCTTCACTTTCGAGACTTGATAGCCGTTCGACATGTACTCCTCCTGACGGACAATGTTGCACCAAAAGCTCACATAAATTGTCAAGGGGGGACCCAATCCCAAAGCCTGTGGCAAGAAGCTTGGAAGCTCGGTCTATGGGCAGAGAACTTGCCATCTATCGTATCAGAACACATCTCGGGCATTGCCAATCACCAAGCCAACTGGTTGAGCCAGATGACAGTGGATCATGGCGAATGGCAGCTGGCTCCAGAGATATTTCACAGGATCTGCCTCCGTTTTGGCGATCCACTGGTGGACTCGTTCGCCAGCTCGAGCAATGCCAAACTTTCCTGATTCTTTTCCTGCTTTCCTGCACGCAATGCGGAGGGCATGGACGCTCTCAGGAGCCCTTGCCCCCCCCGGCCTTCTGTATGCCTTTCCTCCCCTTCCTCTCATCCAGGGAACCCTGAGGAAAATAGTGTTGGAAGGACCCCATATCATCCTGGTGACCCCATTTTGCTGAGGAAACCTTGGTTCGCGGACCTTGTCCAACTGTCCATATCCCCACCCTGGAGGATTCCCCAGGAGGAAGTCGCCCTGTGCCAGGAAGTCCTGATTCACCCACAGCCCCAGTGGCTCCAGCTGGCCACCTGGCACTAGAGCGGTACCTTCTGAGGGATGCTAGCCTGTCTTCCAAGGTTATCTCCACTATTGAGGCTGCCAGGTGTCCTTCTACCACTCGAATTTATAATTCGACGTGGTCGGCATTTGTGTCCTGGTGTGGGAGATTCCAAATCTCCCCAGCTTCTGCCTCAGTCACCTAGGTCCTCGAATTCCTACAACACGGTCTACACCGTGGCCTCTCCCATAACACCTTGTGGAGGCAGACAGCTGCCCTATCTTAGCTGGAGAAGGTCATTGGTCATTAACCCAGTCACCATTGGTGAAACATTTCCTCAAGGGTGCGGCAAACCTGTGCCCTCCCCCAGTACACAGGTTTCCCACGTAGGATCTCTCCCTGGTTCTTGGAGCCCTTACAGATACCCCCTTGAGGAGCCGTTGAGGACCATGCACCTTAGGTTCCTGACCCTGAAGGTGATTTTCCTCGTCGCCATCACTTCGGCTAGATGCATTTCCGAGTTGGGCGCTTTGTCATCCAAGGAGGATTTGTGCCAATTCCACCAAGACAGGGTTGTCTTGAGGCTAGATCCGACCTCCCTGCCAAAGGTCAACTCCCAATTCCATAGGTCACAGGAGGTCATCCTTCCTAACTTCTGCTCCTCTCCTTCCCACGAGAGGGAGGTCCTCTGACACCACCTACATGTCCGCTGTGCCCTACGCATTTATCTCAGGCACACATCTATCAGGCGGTCGGAGGCCCTCTTCCTGTCCTTCCAACCTAGTAGGCTAGGGTGTTTTCCGCAACCATAGGCAGGTGGGTGCAGCAGGCCATCATTGAGGCCTATCAGTCTGTTCACCAGGTTCCGCCACAGGGCATCACTGTTCAGTCCACCAGGAGTGCGGCTACCATGGCCTCCTGGGCTACCAGGGCTCCGCTGGAGGATATTTGTGGGGCGGCCACCTGGGCCTCTCCTTCCCGCTTTATTCGACACTATTGCCTTGATCGTTTTGCTTCAGCGGACGCGGCCTTTGGGATGCTCCAACAGGTGGTGACCCCCCCCTTCCCCAGAGTCAATGATCCACCCTGGGACTTAGCTTGGGTATGTCCCTGTTGTAGCCCCTCCCACCGAAACCACAGGAAAAAGAACATTGGTCCTTACCTGAATGTTTCTTTTCTGTGGTAAAAGTGGGAGGGGCTACTTTCCCACTCTTGGTTTGATCAGATGGGGTCGGGGTGGTCATTGGTTTTTTCTCGGTATATGTGGTGTTATTTTCCTTACATGATGCTGTCAGCTTTTCCATTCAACCTCGTGAAACTGGGAGGTGAGAGGGAAAGGAGAATACTTAAGAAAAATCCCTTCCTTCCTTCCTTCCTTCCTTCCTTCCTTCCTTCCTTCCTTCCTTTTGTCTCTCTCCCCCACTTTCTTCCTTCCTTCTTTCTTGTGTCTCTCTGTCCAACTTTCTTTCTTTCTCTTTCCTTGTTTCTCTTTCTTTCTCTCTCTCTCTCTTTCTATCTTTGTCCCTCTTTTTTTCTCTCTCTCTCTTCCTTCCTTTGTTCGTTTCTCTCTCTCACACACACATACCTTCCAGTTGGCAAAAATTTATGTTTTGCCAGCTGGGAGGCTGGTAAAGAAGTCTCATTTTCCCTGCTGCCCACAACTCTCGGAGAAAGGAGGCAGGGAAGCAAGCCCCAGGCAACATCTCTGCCTTTTTCCTCAAGAGCTGGCTTCCAGAATGGCCAGCCTTTCCAGCCACTGCGCCCTTCACTCATCTGTGGTGGTTGTACAAGCAAATCATCTGCTTCCTCTTCTTTAGGGGTCAATGGAGGATTGGCTGTGGCAGCCCAGCCCTAGATGCCTTTCCCCAAACCCAGACAGCGCTACTCCTGCCTCCCTGGTGTCCGAGCTGCAGCAAGCGAAGTGCCACTTCAGTGGCGCTTATCTCCAGCCAGGCTGCAAAGCATGCGGAGCAGAGAGCAGCCATGTTCACAGAAGCAGAGAGCAGCTGCCACCTCTGCTGTCTGGTTGTTGCTGCTGGTGGTGATAGTAATAGTAAACATGGATGCATCTTCGCTGTATGTTTCACCGCACCCAGTCTCGTGGAAGGTGAAATAGGAGGCACCCCACCGGCAGAGCCTCCGAGTGGAAGGTGGTTATAATAAAGAGGTGATCAATAGGAAAATATATAGTGAAAAGGTTTGAATTTGTATTATGTTATGATCAAAGAGAATTCCTCCAAGTTCCATTTTATTATAGATGTCATATTGGCACATCTAGGAATAAAATGGAACTTTGAGGAAACTCAAGCTTCGGAGTCTTCTTTCGTTAGGATTGTTACTTGGAACCCTGACGTCTTTTGAGGGAAAGCGTTCCACAGAGCGGGAAATTCACTGTCACTAGTTGTTACTGTGCCTTCTCCATATGTTGAATTGTACAGTCCTGCAGAACTGTTATGCCTTGGTTTCTAGAATAGCGTTAATGTTGACTACAATTATATTGGAGATGCAAGAAACACTTTAAATATAGAATAGTTTCGAGCCATATCTCTGTCAATAAAGTCATGTTAAAATAAATATTCTAAAGTCAAATATTTTATAAGTAACTATAGTATATCTTTTTCTAATTGGCCTTAGGTAACCATGTCTGCCAAAGCAATTTCTGAACAAACAGGGAAGGAGTTTTTGTATAAATACATCTGCACGTCTTCAGCCGTCCAGAATCGCTTCAAATATGCCAAAGTAACACCTGATACTGACTGGGATCGGCTCGTCCAAGATCATCCCTGGTTATTGACTGAGGTGAGAAAACAAAACTGTGTCTTGTAACGTCCTGGAGCTATCTCAGATTCCTATAAAAGTACTAAACACTCCCTTTCTTTAGATCCATTTTTAACTTGGAAGGCTAGCAACAGCAGTCTGTAATCTCAACATTTTCAAAATAAGAAAAATAAATATAAATCCTAGAAAAGTCTTTGTCTGGGTATTTGGCTAATAATCAGCAACGCAAGACTTTAGATACCATCATTGAATTTCCAGTTCCTAGGCCAAGCTAGGTAGAGTGAAAGACCCTTTTTGTATTTGAGATTCCTACTGAGATTCCCATTTACAATTACTTGCAGCCATAGCTGATTGGCATTGGGCAAAGCTTGAGGAAAAGTTAGCACTTTCGTCAGGGACAGACCACCTGCTTCCTAATCTAAAGCGTCCTTTTCTGAAATTTAATTTCAGAAGTCTAATAAGAGAGGGAGAAAGCAGTACTAGAAAAGAATGGCGTCAGAAAAGCCCCTCCTTGGTTTAGCTCCACTCAATTCTCCCCACCTTAACAGGTTGCTTTTGAGACAATATAGTTCTTAACAGAAAGAGCTCTGTACCACTAGCATCTTTGTGCAATATTTGATTATAATAAAGCAAAGGATAGTTAATTGATGTATTTTACTTTCCAGTTGATCATCGTTGCATCTTTTATCTTCTCTGGATAAAGTAGCATGTAGATGCCTCTCACTAGCTTGCTTTGACTTAATTTATAGGCTGCCCCAATCTTTGTCATTATGGGAGGCTTACGGTGTAACAATAAAAGAATGAAAAAATTAGAATATATCACCCAGAAGAAAAATTACCACTTTTTCAGACCCAGGACCTACAGTACAGCCAGGTGTTAAAGGCTCCCTTAAAACATGGACAGGGTAGGGTTCATATAATCTTGGGCAGAATGGTGTTCCAGAAGGAAGGTGTTCTTTATTTTCATTTTTGCTTTGAAAAGTTCTGGGAACCTTCTCCTTTCAAGTTACTTTATTGTGAAAGTAGAATTGCGAAGTAGAGACCTTCTGTCCCTGATTCTTTTGGTTTGCTTGTTCTCCTGGCTCCCATCCAGTTTAATCACATTTGGAGCATGCATCTGCAATACAGTCCCATTTTTCTTGCTGATGGAGGACAGCTCAATTGATAGCTAATTAAATACTATGCACTTAGTTACATGACTCAGTTGTTGCCTTGTGTCAGCAAGGAAGATAAAAGATCAGGAGTTCTGCCAGGAGACAGGAAGGGTTCTGAATATCCTTTTAATTTAATTATAGGATGCCTAAAGTAAGAACAGAAAGAATACTTTCAGATCCCTGGTTCTGACATCAGTATTCGCTATACACATTTGTGATGAGTGCAGTTACTTACAAATAAACAGACAGGAAAGTTGTCTAAAAGCTGCAAAGTATCTTACCATTGTAGAAGACTGCTCCTGCTAATCACAGGGATTCGGTTGTCCATGATACTTTGTTCTAATCTTCATTGTTGTATTTGTGAGGTAGGGATAATGTCATGGTAGTGATGATGCTTTCTAAAGGTATAACATGAAAATACGCCAAAATGAATACATTACTTCCAGGAAGTTTTATCAATCAAACTGATTCTTTTTACATTCTTTTTTTGATATGGCTGTAATGATCAAATTACGATACTTCTCATGGAGAAGCAGTATCTAAATTTTCTGAACAAGCATGTAAGCTATGACAAATCTGATATAATTACCCACAAGGTTAATTTTTCATTTTTGGGTTTTCCTTTGAAACATTCTAGCGTCTTGTGGTGAAACCTGATCAGCTGATAAAACGTCGCGGTAAACTTGGCTTGGTCGGTGTGGATCTTAGTTTAGATCAAGTGAAAGCCTGGCTGAAACCACGCCTTCAAAAAGAAGCTACAGTAAGTATTACTTGTTTCTCAGTAAACCGCATAATTTGGACATTGACCTTTGGAAAGGATAGGGAGTGAATCAATCAATCAATCAATCAATGAAGCCACCAAACATATTTGGAGAACAAAACTTGCCATTGAACTATTTTGTATTTTATAATGAATGACCTTAGCATATAGTACCTATAGGAATCACTATAGGTCTGTCTACGGCATGGGAAATTCACTTTCCAACTCCCTCTTTAAGCTTCACTGGAGTTGATAAGGCCATTTCTAGGTAGTGAGTGCATTCTGAATATCCTATGACAGCTTTTGTTTTGGGAAGAGAATATGACTTTCTTAGGGATAAGAATTGGGAAAAGGAAGGATGAAAGTGAAGCAATTACAAGGGTAGAAAGAGAAGTACAGAATGTAAAAAGGGTAAAAGGAACAAAGAGAAAAAGAGATGCATAAAGAGATACTTTTAAAAAAGAATTCATGCCGATCTAGAGTTTGTATATTTTTTATATAGAATCTCCTTCCTTTTCAAAATTACCATCCTCCTTGTCTTAACAGACCAAACACATATCTCCAGGGTTGCTGCATAAAAAAATATATGGATGCAAAGCATTAATACTTTCCTCACAATTATGACAAGGACGCCATCTTCCATCCAAATCACTGTTGTATCAATTGGACACCTGTACCTGTGTTCTGTGATTTCATACTGTTTTTGATAGCACCTGTTATAAAAATCATAAGGATTCATTTCTTCAATGGCAAATACTGGATCAAGAATTTTTACTCTGTAACCTGTAGGCAAAAACCATTGGGTTTTCCTGCAGATTACCAACGAAAGCTATGTTATAAGTGTGCAGATTAAAAATAATTGTGTTGAATTCTAATAAGTGTGACTTGAAATTCACAGGAAATCAGAACATAGGAATGGGCTTTCTATCATTTGGGTGTGGAGATGATGGGAGAAGAGTAACCATGTATGTGTCTGTGTGTGTTCATTCTCATGGTAGTTTTTCAAAACACCCCAAATACCCAGAAGGGCCAAACAATCACACAGATCCTACTGTAGTCCCTTGCTAATTCATCATATGTTTATTCAATAGCAGTAGACTTATATACCGCTTCATAGGGCTTTCAGCCCTCTCTAAGTGGTTTACAGAGAGTCAGCATATTGCCCCCAACAATCTGGGTCCTCATTTTACCCACCTCGGAAGGATGGAAGGCTGAGTCAACCCTGAGCCGGTGGGANTTTTTTTTTAAAGAAAAATAAAAAAGTTCTGTTAGAAAAGAATCTTGGCAACTAAATTGGTGTTAAGAGTTGAAGATTCTCTAAATTAGTCTCCTGTATCTTTACAAAGATTATTTTAATTTCTTGTTTAGTGTTACAAGAAGAATCTTAAATGTATTTCTGCTCCTTAACATTTTGATTCAAATGATATTCAAATGGTATGTCTGCAGGAAGCCTATATTGCTGACCTTGATGCCAAGAGTGGAGCCAGCTTAAAGTTGACCATCTTGAACCCCAGTGGCAGAATCTGGACCATGGTGGCTGGAGGCGGTGCATCTGTGGTATACAGGTACCAGACCCAGGTTTTGGTGGAAGTGATTTGGCTGTCACATACTTTAGTATAGATTGTGATCCAGTCCAATAGCTACAGCAGGAAGACATTTGCTACCATTTTGTGTGCCAAAACCTCAGCAGGGTTACATATTGTTGAATACACAATTCTTCCTGGATCCACAGCCAGGGTTTGTGTGTCACCATTTGCTTTCATTCTGTTAATCATTGTCAGGAAGAAATGCTGTGATCACAGCTTTGGGAATGTGAATGCTAGTTTGCTCTGTAGCATATTATTTTAAATACTTAGGTGTTTTATGAGAAGTGGTTAGCTGGAATTTGGATAAATGTGTGCATTAATAGCCTTTTACTGTGGGGAGGTGAAAGAATAAAGTTAGGACATTTGTATCTGTACATTTGGTTCAGATAGCATCAGGATTAACCTGTTCTCTTTCTATTGTCTTTAAAAGCTTTTGTTAGCAAAGTTGCATACGGAGTCTTTTCAAAAGCTTAGTTTTCTAGAGCACAGTGAGCAGACCAATGTTCCCTCTAATTTTTTTTCAGTGTGAGCAGAAAAGTATAGTGTTTGAGCTGCACAGTTTCATGCCTGAGCACCTAAGAGAGCAACAGTTNGTTTATATCTGTTCTTCTTTTTCACAGATTGCTAAAGCTAAGGGCATCCTAAAGAACTTCTTGATAGAACCTTTTGTTCCACATAAACAGGTTAGTTTGTTTGCAAAGTTCTCTTTGTAGAATTCTCATAGAACAGAATTGTATTTATATTTATATTTTAATAAATGAGCATCTCATTTTGGTGGAGAAGCCTTTCCTCAATCTGTCTTTCAGAGGAAATGGAATATATTCCTCAGCCAATATGACCACTAAAGATGATTGGTGTTTCAGTGTGAATGTGAAGGGCAGTAAGATCAAGAAGATTTCTTTGTCATGCTAAGGACAGGGGGAGGGGGAGGGGGAAACACCCCTTTCTATAATCTCCTTGAACTTTTCAAGCTCCGTTCAGTTGACCAATGTTCTTATATACTAATAGGCACCCTGGAAGTCAGTGTAATGCTGCTAATGGAGATGATGAAATAGGACTAAGATAACATCACAAATCTGTAGAAAAGAGGAAAACAAGTTGTACTTGTTGTCCCCAGTCTTGCTATCATTAATCCTGCTTCTGAGGCAGTCTGGTTTACTGCGTAGTAGTTTAACTGAGGCACAATGAAGTAAATTGATTTTAAGTGAAGCTTTCTCCTTTCTTTAAATTAATTTAATTTTGCTTCAGTTTTATTATTATACAGTAAAACTGTGAAGAATAAAGAACTTGTCAGATCTTGGTGAAGATAGCAGAGGCAAAAGAAAATGTCAGAAAGGAATGTCTGTTCATTTAATACAATCTGTTTTAATCAGTAGGAAGTAAGATCTTACCAATTCATTATGTTTTCTTCACAGACAGAGGAGTTCTATGTATGTATTTATGCAGCTCGTGAAGGAGACTATGTGCTGTTTCACCACCAGGGTGGTGTGGATGTGGGGGATGTGGATGCCAAAGCTCAGAAGTTGCTGGTGCACGTGGACTGCAAGCTGAGTGAAACTGATATCAAGAAACATCTCTTGGTGCATGCTCCACTGGATAAGAAAGAGTAATTCTGAACTATTGCTTTCTATCATAGGGGATGTGTATGATGTATGGTGCAGGTGAATGATTTATGGCAGCAATTATGCTGACCAGGCCAAGCATTGTCCACTAATACAGAATTTTAGGTTTACAATTACCCAGGGGCAATACATATTCTTCTGTGGCCATATTTTTTTTCTACTCTTTTTGCATGGTGAATAGGAATATCCTTAATAATGGCTGGAGAGTGCTTTACGACTTGTTATTATGAAAGAGAAAATCTCTAGGCCATTTTCTTCTAATATCCATGATGCATCCAGACACATACAGCTGAAAATAAAAGGTAGAATCTCCAAGTCAGTATAGTTGGTACGTTGGATTGGGACTGAATCAAGTCTCTTATCAACCATACCCCAAGTCATATTGAATCAATATCTTTCAGTCCTACCTATCTGATAGGCGAAACAATCCAAGACAGAAGGCAGGATTTAATAAAGAAATATTCCCATAAGTAGACTTGTGCCTAGATTCTACCATTATTTTCCTGGACTTTGCCGGTATATATAGACACCAATTATCCAGCAATCACTTGTCCCTACATCTCAGGGCAAGGCAGGCTGAGTCCTTTCCAAGAGAAAAACATATTTCATTGAATCTCAGTGCTTGAAATTGTATCTAGCAGCTTAGGTAACTGTGTTTAACATACTTGCCTTATTGTCTTCCCAAAAGGCTGTAAGAGACATATGTGCTTTTTTCTGGCCATACCTAATCTCAATAGCCACATTAAGCCATCGCCTGTCCATCCTAGAATAGACAAGCTACTGAGAAAGGGGATTGCAAGCTTTGGCCAATCTGGATATGGTTCTTTGGGTCAAAGCCATGTGCCTTCAAAGAAGAGATGGGAGCTAGCCATCATGCAGGTCAGAAGTCAAGGATGGCCCATGTTGTTAATATGATGAACTAAGTGTTTGAATAAGAAACCTAGTTAAGTGCCGGCGTGGCAAAGATAAAACAAAATTGCAAATATGTTTTGTGAGAGTGCCAATTTCCTAGTTACCAGTCTCCCTAGGCACCATTGCTGGCAGTTATTTGAAGAAGTAATACCACAGTTGCTCAGCCAATGCTTCTTCATTTTGCCTAAAACTTTGAAATACTTTGCAAGCCTTCAAAAGATGGTTAAACAATTTTTCCATTTATATGATGTTTGGAATTGTATTTGTGTTTGTGTGTTTTGATTTACAATGTCTTTTTCATCCCATTTAAAATAGAAACTAATACATCTTCCGGGATCAATCAAGGACACTGGCTGACTCATCCAAGTCAACCATTGAGCCTTAGCTAGGCCAAAGGCAGACAGAATTGAGATAAATCCAGATAATATGACAAATTGTTTGATTTGTGCAATTTATTACTGTGTATGTTGTACTATTTTTATTTAGCATCTTGGCAAGCTTCATCTTTGGACTCTTCAACCTTTATGAAGATTTATATTTTACGTATCTGGAAATCAATCCACTAGGTAATGTGTTATTTTATGTTTGTGGAGGATGGATATATTTAATTCTGAATTTTTCAGTTTCTGATGAGTCTTTTTTTAGCTTGCTGGAATAGAAAATGAAGATGGAAGTGAAGCTTCCGCTATAAAATAGTGAATATATTGCCACATAGTCTTGTTACCAAAGGAATTTATATAGTGTTCCTTCAAGAAGAGAAAATGTAAAACTACCCATCAATCAATGTTTAAGGTTCTTCATATAAAACAATATCTTCAGAGATTAATTATGACTGTCAAATTTTAGTAGGCTGCTAAAATCAGAATCTTCAGCAACAATGTTAAAGAACTAATCACAAATGTCTGGTTTTTATGATTCAGCTTTAGTCCAACTAGATGTGATGGTATGATCACATAATTCAGATTAGTTAGCAGATGCTATGCCTGTAATTCCAATACTGTGTGCCAAAACACATTACTGCATTCTGAAAAACTTATTTATGCAATAATAAAAATATTTTGTGACACTTGTATAAGAACTCAAAAGACAGTGTTGGTCATTATACATCTGTATATTTTTATTTATCTTTCTTTATTAGAGTTAGCCATTTCAGTCTATTTCTGACAAGTCCAGAAGTCCACTGTGTTCAAAGCTAAAGAAAACCTTTGAATTACATCTTCATTCATTTATCTTAAAATTAATATTTTGTCATGTCAGTTTGAGAACTCAGCCATAAAACATTGAGAAATGCAAAAATCTATAATCTGAAACATTATTTTGGAAAATACAAATTGTTTAAGTCTCCTAATAATTTGGATTTAATGAAGGCCACAAAAATCTCTGTTCTTTCCATTAAGTATCTAGATAGGCTGACATTTTGCTTTAGGTGGAAAAGAAAATCTGCTTTAATTTTAATTTGTAAATGTACTTTACTTATTCGATAGTGCTTTCCAGCATTCTCAAGATGGAGGTCTCCAGATGTGTTAGGAAATTTCCAGTATATCTAAAGGGTGGGTCAGGTTGAGAAAGAGAAACTTATGCTGTCATGTATGTCTCATGGGTCTGAATCATCCAAGTGCTTAATTGGTAAAAGTCCAATGAATGAGTTCCATATCTCATTTACAGAACGTAAGGAGTCTGAAAGGAGGCATTTTACCAGTGGCTAGGGAACAATTCACTCTAACCTGCTTTTTGTTTGTTCTCCCTTTACAGTTGTAACTGCAGGTGGTGTTTACGTACTAGACCTGGCTGCAAAAATTGATGCCACAGCTGATTACATCTGCAAAGTGAAATGGGGTGATGTGGAATTCCCTCCTCCCTTTGGAAGGGAAGCTTATCCAGAGGCAAGTAAAGGGAGGCTTATCCGTCGGGCTGGAAAATTAGAGTTTCTGAAGTGTTTGAGTATATTGAAATGCTTGAAGTAGATTGGTTAGACCAGTGATGGGTAACCTTTTTCTCCTTGTGTACTGAAATAGCACGCATACCAACACCCATAATACAATGCATCCCACCCCCTGCACATGTGCACATGACCCCCCCACACTCCCCTACACATGTGTGTGACACATGTGCCCCATTTTGAGCCTAGCAGGTCTTTCTGCAGCCTCCTGGGACAAAAAAGGGGTTTGGGGATGAATCAACCCCCCTGCATGCACACGCATGCATGATAGAGGCCCAAAAATCAGCTGGCCGGTGGGAGGCAAGCACGCAGGCGCAGGGAAGCTGAGCTGGGCGACGGCTCACGTGCCTGCAGAGAGGGCTCCTTATGCCACATGTGCCATAGATTCACCATCACCATCTAACCATCATTGAATGAAACTCTTGTACTGATCTTACGCCAGGTGCTATCTTCTCAGACTAACCTACTTACATGCAGTTGTAAAGATAAGAGGAATGATGACTAGGTACACTCCATCTTAAATAAGAGGGATACGGGGGACCCCTTGCAGGGTAGGGCTGAAGACTATGCCCAGTTCTTGGTGGACAAAGTTGCTCGGTTTCGGTCGGATTTGGACTCCACCTTTGCAGATCCAGCCAAGGCACGAGTGGACGATTTGGTAGACCATCGCTGGGTTGAGTTTCAGGATGTTACCCCCGGGGACGTGGACAAGGC